CCCCCCAGTTAGGTGCATCTTGAGGTCCCAGGGCACCACAGCCCCCTTGGGAGATCAGAGCCCCATCTGCCTCCCAGCCACTCCACCAGCCAGCTCCTGAAACTCTCTCTTCAGCGACCCCTCCCACAGCCTTTGTTCAGTTCCCCGGCAAAGGCGTCACCTGGCCTTTAACCCCTTCCTGGGTTCTCATGTTACATGCTCAGGTATTCTCCTTCGGGCAGACTCCCATCCCCCAATGCAGACCGTCCTAGCCACACTCCCCTGCCTTCCCAGCCAACACTCCCCACTCAGCATTCAAAGATCACATTAAGAACAGTCCCAGTTCATCACAGTAGGACTCAGTTTCCCTGGGTGTTACTGGTTTAACAAGGTGGTGGGAGAGGGAGTTTGTGGTTACAGAAGGCCAGTGAATGGCCTGGAGGATGGATGCCCCAGTGACTGGTGACCTGAATTACTTTCCAAAAACTTATCAGAAATAGCATCCTGAAAAGCTGGGACCTGGATTGGGGTTCCCTCCTCCACCCCCTTCTCTGTCCCTGAGAAGTGTGACTGCTCCCCTCCAGGAGGTCAGTGACACAGTTCCGTCTCAAAACCTGGGTAACGGCCTGATCAGATGCTGACTCATCCATTTGGTCCTGGGCATCCTCTCCCAAGTGACCAGTGAGGAGACATCCCTGTACCCCACTATTCCTTCCCCAGTTCCCTCCTCGGGGCCCCTCCTAAGACACATTTCTCTGTGCTCCCTAGGAAGGCGCCTGTCCCTTGTTCATCTGCAGAACTCTGCCAGCTAACAACTGGGACAGTTTCCTTAATCACGTCAGGGACAACAGCTCTCCTGCCCCTGCGCCTGAGGGCATGTTGCCTTCTGATGGAAAGGAGCCAGTCTCAGCCCCTCTCACACTTGGGAGCACCCTGCTTCCCTGTGTTACAGAGTCACAGGGACCCCTCACCACCTCAGTGGTTTCTGAGATCCCCTCCCCCTTCTCTGGGTTCTCCTCTGGGACACATTGCTCTCTGCTCCCTAGAGCCGGGTCTGTCTCTGGTTCAGCTGCGACCGGCTGGCAGCTCACAACCTGGACACGTCTCTCCCTGGTCGGCATCACACCCCCATCCCTTCCTGAGGTGGGGTTGCCTCCAGCTGCAGGGCAGGGGCTTGTCTCAACCCCCCTCCCCCCTGGAAGCATGTGGCTTCCCCCTGCTGCAGAAGAATCAAGGAGACTCTCCCCCATTCTCTCAGCAGTTCCTGAGACCTTCCCCTTTCCCTCGGGGGTCCCAGCATAACATTCCCTCCTGCTGCAGGCAAATACTGTAACCTGAGCGACACGGAAAACATCATTACCAAGGAGCAGGTCGAAGAGGAGCTGTTCCATCACCCCCACAGTCACAACACTTTGCAAACCTTCCCACCCCACATGGATTTCAGCTAGTGGTACGAGGAACCTGCTTCCGCCCACCCCACAATCTCTGCCATTTGGCCAGGTAGCATACTGGCCTTTGGGACCACGCTGCTTAACCAGAGAGATCTGGGCCCCTGTATCCCTCTGCCCCAAGTATTCCCTGCCATCAATTCTGACAAACTTAACACGCTCCATGTCTGGCTCTGCAGAGGTAACCTCACAGAACCAACACAATAGGTTGCAATTGCTTGGGGGGGGTTGTGTGGTGTGGACGGCAGAACTAACATGAGCTATTGGTTGCCGACTTCCTCCCAGCACAGGGCATCTATTGCTTAGGTGATCAGTGGAATTACACCAATAGCACCTTCTGGGCTCTTCTGCTCTTCCAGGAGGTTTGGGATGAGGGTTAGAGGACTGGTTTTGGGGAGGTGAGTGCCCAGCCTCCCAGCCACCCTCCCTCTTGCTAGGGATAAAATGGGATCTCCCCGTCCCACCAGCTTCAAAGCCCTCTTTCAGTGGTTTGTTTTCAAGAGATGCCTGGGTCAGTTCAATGGCATCAGCAGGAGACGCCATCTCCTCCACAGACCTTACGTCTTTGTCCCATGGACACGGCTTCACATCCGCCTGACACACGCCCAGGAAATGCCCTTGGGCAACCAGATCCAACAGGCCCTCACCTCTGCCCCTCACCCACTTTCCCAGCAAATCTTTCATTTTGTTCACAGATTCCCCATTACTCATCCCAACACCCCTCTTCAGACCCCTAAATGTAACTCTACATGTTTCAGGGGGAATCTGAAACCTTTGCAAAACAGTGTTTTTAAATGTACAATAGTCTAAAGCATCTTCAATGGGCATTTCACGGAATGCATTCAGAGCATTACCAGTTAATTGTGCAGTCAGGGTAGGAATTCTCTTGGCATGAGGGATTCACGCACTGCACACGGCCTTTCAACGGTGGTCAGATACTTAGCAATATCATCCTCCTCATAAGTGTTCCCATTTGTGGATTTTTGGGATGATGGGAATCGCTGGGGTCGGGGATTCTGGTTCTGCTTCTCTAGCAGCTCCAGTTGGTGTTTTCACTCTCTCTCTCTCCTCCCGCTTCTCCTTTATCTCCAGTTCTTTCAGTTCTAACAGTCTCTGATGTTCTCTCTCCTTCTCTGCAACCTGCAGCCTAAAAAGCTCCAACTTCACAATCACTTCGCTGATTTCTGTCATTTTCCTGCTTTTCTGTCCCTACTTCCCTTTCCCGAAATAAGCAAATAGGAAATAACAAACCAGTAGCCTCCTCCTAACGCTCATTAGCCACCACACTTAAAGCCTCACTTAAAATCTTTGCACCAGTGTTTGAAGTGCAAATCTTGCTAAGTACAAGCAGCTGTGTATTTCCCCCTGCGCGCTGCACCACTGTGACAGGATCCCCGGGGTGCAGCCTGGGACCGTGGGACCGCTGGGACCCCTGAACTCTCTCCAGCCTGGGCTGTCTCCCACAATGCCTTGCTAGTGACCAGCAGCAAACCCCCTCCAGGCGCTGTGGTCACTCAGCACAACAGCATGTGGAGCCCCACACCCAGCTAGATTGCACGAATGCTTCCAGAGCCGCTCATGAATCACACGGAGAAAGGCACCTGCCAGATCTCCCCAGCTCCCAGCCTTGTACCTCAGGAATATACCTTCTTGTACTGCTCAAGACGAGCAATGCAGATTTATTAATTGGTTCCCCACTTCATGAATGGAAAGTGGACATACACCAGCCTTTGTAAACCTGAGCAGATTCACCAGACACTTCTTACAAACTGACTGGTAAAGATAAACAGTTAAACAAGTGTATTGACTACAAAAGATAGATTTTAAGTGATAGTCAGTGACAGGCAAAAAGAGTTAGTTACCAAAATAAAAGAAAACATAAGCCTGCAGTCTAACCTCTCAACCCTACTAGACTGGGCATCATCTAGACTAAGTCGCTTTTCTCACCCCACTGGATACTGCAGTTCCTCGTACACAGATTTCACCCTCAGTTGGGGTCTTCAGAGTGTCCTTGTTGCTTGCAGCGTAGGTGGGGGGAGGAGAAAGGCCCAGCGTGGGGCCCCTGTGTCTGGTTCATACCCTCAGTCCATGTGCTTGGGACACACAAGTCCAGGCCTGTCTGGGGGCGTTGCTGAGTCCCCAGGCCAGGCTGAGCAATTCCCCTGGTGGGGCCTCGTGCAGGAGAGTCATTGCATTGTAGCTCCCTGGCTGGACAATGGCTGGTGATGGTTGTTTGACACCCGTCCGGGCGTTGGTTACTTTCCTTGCTGTTCCCTCTGGGGAGCCAATATGTGGCTAATTCCCCAATTTCATAGATTCATAGATTCATAGATTATAGGACTGGAAGGGACCTCGAGAGGTCATCGAGTCCAGTCCCCTGCCCGCATGGCAGGACCAAATACTGCCTAGACCATCCCTAATAGACATTTATCTAACCTACTCTTAAATATCTCCAGAGACGGAGATTCCACAACCTCCCTAGGCAATTTGTTCCAGTGTTTAACCACCCTGACAGTTAGGAACTTTTTCCTGATGTCCAAGCTAGACCTCCCTTGCTGCAGTTTAAACCCATTGTTTCTGGTTCTATCCTTAGAGGCTAAGGTGAACAAGTTTTCTCCCTCCTCCTTA